GCAGGAATTGTTCTGCTACCTTTAGCCACTTATCGACCTCTACTCCTTAAAGCAGCAGCAGGATAAGAAGTATTCTGAGAAAACCAACGAACTGTTAACCTAAGATCTGAGCGCATAAAAAAGGTAGGCAACTTCCTAGAGCAAGAGAAGGAACGCTGACCCTATACCAATACCCACATTTTGATACTTACAGAAGATTTGATTTTTTTGCTCTCTGGTATGGCTAAAATTTATGACATTTGATATTAAGTAACAACACACTATTTCAGTCATTCTGAGAAACCCCATGCACACCAAAGCCATCAAAAACATCTCAAGAATCAGCAAACACACAATACCAACATGTAGTAGCAATTTATGTCTCCCATCACAGCTCTAGCAGTCCATCTGCTCATGTTGACAACTGGCCAGTAGTAACTGTGGGCTTGGGGATGCAAGTTTTTAGATGGCAATAGCTACATGCTACTGAAAAGACATGAAATTTTAAAGTTGATGTTACTTCTGCATCTGTGAGTACAATTTAAAAATGAACTGTGTAAGTCTTCAGTACAGTTTCTCCCACTATATGACCCTCATTTCACAAGCTCAGAAATAGCACTGCACAGAATAAATCTGTTAAAAGAAAAATCTCTCTCGTCCACATACCATGAGACAAATGGTAGGTGAAGCTGTAACTGCTTTATGAAAAACTAGACCAAAAAAATGCTCCAAAACACATTGTTGCTTTGCAGATCTGAAGCAAGCCATGGCATTTACACTGTGTCAAATGCAGGTACACAAGCCATAGTATTTTTTCCACTGTTGGAACTACACAAAATTTCCACCAGGAATTTGAAAACAGCAACAGCTACACACAGAGGTAGCTCACGGTAGCACAAGAGAATTTACAAGATCTTCAGAGTCTGAACCTCAGAACTCTTTGATTTCTAGTTGGCTGACATTTTCTATCCCATTACGCTTTATTGAAACAAGCCAACACTGCAGGGCACATGCAAAGAGCACTGACCTCCTCAAAATATTTCCTGGGAGTTACTGCGTAGAAGCAGTGGTTTACAGCAAAGTGAGAATCTGACTGACAATAACCGTACCTCAAGAGAGCTACAATCACATCGAGGTTACAACAACATGTTTGCTTTAAAGTGAGTCCCAGAATGACACCTACCCCAGACCACTGAAAAAGTTTTGTGACAGTCCATACCAGACTGGAAACCTAACAAAAATTCCATTCTTTGCAGAATACAATTTTTTTTCTTATTACTCTAGTTAATAGCCATAAAGTCTTCTGTATCGGTGTAATATACTCGGCAGGCACCAAAGTCAAGACTTCACAAGGACCTTTCATTTGTTTTCTCTCATTTGCCAAGAAGTTGGAGCTGACTTTGTGAACAGTTTAGAAAATTGTCACCTTTATTAACAGCTTTGCTTTTCAGCTTTATAAAACCAACAGGGGCAAATGCGCTTAAACAAGCCACAATAAGTTATTTTTTTCTTTTCCTTACTGGTATCAGTCACTTATTTGATGATATGCTCTCACATTTGAATACTCTACCAATAAGAAAACTTTCTTCTTATTACTATGTTTTGTACTTCCACATCTAGAATGTTGTGCAAAACAGGAATATTTTCATAGCAAGACATCAAAGAAAAGCCACTATAAATCTCCGTGTGGCAGCACGTACATTTTTCACTTTTCTGATTAGCAGGGAAAAACTCCTTGCTTCAGTTTACACTGATGCTTTCATGCTAAACTTTATTCCCATTTATAGTTACTTCAAATTCAGTAATCTGCAATAATAAATGGAAGTTGGAAGCTGCATGACTTAAATAGGTATATGGCACACCTTTAAAAAACAGTCTATTAAAAACTCCCAAAAAACAGTTCTAATTGTTGAGTAATTCTAAGTATCACACTGCTTGAAAATGCCAACTCATCACATGCAAATCATAACATTGAGTTAATATCCCCACAATGCTTCACAGCAAAGTACTGCAAAATATTTCATACCTGTATGAATTCTGATATGTTCTATGAGCCGTGCTGTTCCTTTGCTGGCATAGTTGCAGTATCGACACTTTAACTTTCCATCAAATGTCCTTTCAAACCCATCCACTAACATTCCTGAGTTTTCATCCAGTGAAACTTCAACAGAAGGATGATCCAGACCATTCTGATCACCTTCTGTCCCAGCTGTGAATAATGTAACAGAGATTTCCGTCAAGAATCAGTGGGATACGACCTATTGTGCTGTAAGACTATGCCACATATCGTTTACTTCTCTGTGCCCTTGGTCTTCAAATATACAGAACTATACGAACAAACCCTGATTAAAACCAAAGTACATAAACGTCTTTTGAGAGGTGAAAACGACTATCAGAAATGCTTCCACACAATTGTAGTAGTCTGCATAATTATCTGGAACATAAACAGTGCAGTCACTCTCAAAAAAAAAAAAAAATTTTTTTAGTGCCAAAATTAGCTTACCTCCCTGAAGAGTCTCTGCTTCTTTGTCTCCACTAACCGATCCAGAAATCATATTTACATGGTGAGTCTGCTGTGTAAGATATTCCTGAAAATCTTTTACAAAGTCCAAAGGTTCTGGCTTCTTTTCACCCATATTCACTCTTTACGTTTACAACCTCTTGTGCCTAGAAGGAAAAATATTTTCAAATCACAAGTGTCATTGAATTTGAATGCATTCATAAAAACAAGTTTGGTTTCCATTTTTGGTGTTTGTTTTTTTAAGTGAAGGATTACTTTTATCATACAGCATGACTCAATCCACAAACTGACAACCTTAAGATTATTTTTAGAATTTTTAACTCATTAAAATCACACAACATACTGCTGGGGAAACTGTTTTCAGTAACATACGGACAATATCAAATTGGATAAAATAATAATCAAATTCAACTAGCCTTTTTTTTTTTTTTTAAATGGATCATACCTGAATTTTAGTTCCCTGCTAAGTAGCAAACATGCTCCAAAATGTACTCCCAACAGGTCAGACAGAAGGTGCAGAGCACAGCTTCTCAACGTTCCCTGAAAGGAAAAAAATGTAAGCCCATTATTCTTCTCAACCCGCTTGAGTTTTAAGAAAGAAACTTGAAAAAATGTCTGTGTTTTGAAAGATAGGTTCTAACACTCTACTGCTGTAAGTTTTATTAAAACAATTACACTTCCAGCAAAATCTTTTCAAAGACTGCATCTACTTCTTTATGTATCCCACTGAAAGCTACTTCTAACCTCACTGATCGTTTGAGTAGTTTCTTTGCTGAACATGTGACTCCAAAAAACATCTCAGAGTTGTCAGTTATGGCAACTGAAATGTTGGGAAACCAACTGAATGTGTCACTGATTAGCAAAGATGGAAAGAAGCCATATAGAAAGCAGTTTTTCATAGCTCTCCCAAAATTTTAGTTTCCTATCCTGCATAAAAGTCTTGATCCACTTCATTATTTTGCATTGAAATAATAAAAATATTCACTAGAAGTCACTGGTCATGCTCTTTTCTGGGACTGTAAATGGCAAACCTCTAGAGTCTCAATTCGCAATAAATTTGTGAAAACAGAACTTCGGATTCAGTTGGAAAGAGGACAATGAGTCACTCACGTTATTATTCCTGCAGATTATAATCAGAAATAATTTATAATGCTACATTTCCAATAAGAATATATTTTTGTTTTCCAATGGCTACTAAACAAAACACTAGGTGACCTACAAAAACTCAAGTCCTGAGTTCAAGACCACATTTAAACACATTCTCCTGTATTTTCAAAGTTAGTTACATGCATTAGTTCATTTTTGGCATCCAGACAAGTATGTTCTTTCACATCATACCCAATTGTGCTCCCCTACCATTATAATCACCAGTAAGTTAGTTCTGAACGCGTCTTTACAGATCAGTTTTCCCTACCCTCTTTCAGATGTCACCAGCCTCGTATAGGCTTAAGTTAATTTGTGTTCCATTTGTTGGTGTCTCCTGCAATAAAACAAAGATATGAGGATATGAATTAAAGATATGGAAGATAAATATAGGACAATATAGAGTACTGACCGAGGCAACTTTCACCAAATTCTAATAATAAGAAATAACAATTCAAAATTAAACCATTCTAAACGTTGAATGGTTCAACACGAAACAACGCTAAAGGTCCATATTTTCACAGAAGAATCTGTGAATCCCTTCATGTAAGGCACAAAAATTTATTTCATCTATTACTTTTATAATGACATTTAATTTTTAAAGAAAATTACAGAAAATTTTAAAAATCTGATTGGGGAAAAGATCTTATTTTGGGGAACAACTACATAAAGCTTCCTTTCTTTACCTCACTGATTCGATTTGAGAAGATTCATCTTTCTTTTTATTATGTCAAGGTAGGTAAATTTCCACAATGTATCAACTGCTTCAATCCTCTACGTTTGTATGGACAAAAGAACTTTTTGTGATTTTATGTGGTATTTCTTTAGCTATACAACTAGTAGTTCCCTTTTTCAGGGAAGAAGGATACAGATCAGATGCTTGCTATGTCACTACTGCAAACTAGTAAACACAATTCTAATTATTAGAAACCTGAGCAGACCAGCTCATGTTTCACGTGCTGAATGGGCTGATCACACCCGACGTTCCTGAAGTTCTACTTATACAGAGTATTTTCTGCAAAGACCACTACATTTTCTGCAGGATAACTACATCTTCTCCAGCTTTACACACTGACGGGTAGAATACCGGTTACTCATTTTCTACGCTGTTGGATTTAATGTTATTTACGGTGCTGATGTGTACCAAGTTTATTGCCGAAGAATTGCCACAGGATGTGCTAGGATGAAAGGCATTATAAATATTTTGCCTAATGAATTCTGCTAAAGAAAATAATTCAGACACAGTAAAACCAGTCACTTAACACACGCAGTAAGAACTCACACTGCAGGAATTATAAGGGAATAAAATACTGTGACTGCAAGCACAGGCATGCATCCTGTTTTCTTTTAAGGAATTAAGGGGGGAAAAAAGGGGGGATCTCTCTGCCCCAGTCTCATCTTTTCCAGGGCAAATGACTTAAAATTAACACAGCGAAGGAGGAAGATCCCGAACTCTCTCCCAGCCCTGCCCCA